CTAACACTCGTGAGGGGTGGTTAGTCGGGTGTTGTGTCCAATGTAGATTTCGGACCTCACCTTAGGTAGACTAGAGGGGTGTGTGTCCCGAGATGTGTAACCCTCCAACCACACCATGATGTCTACCCTAGAGCAGAGTGTGGTATACGAGTATACTCACTATCCTTATTACACTCAATATCATTAGCATTTAATGAACACTTTTAGTATAATTTAGTTGTTAGTGTGACACTGGGCTAGTGAGCTCAACGTTTAGAATTTATTTTCGTGCACAGGTTCTTAGAAGGAGCATATGAGGACCATATCACGCAGCTGACATTCCAAACAGTCTGAATAACAGAGTGCGTCTTGATGTTATTTATTTAAAAGGCGTGTATAATTCATAGACCTTGTACTTGAGTCGTAACTTTATTTTGAATATTGAGTTGTATTATTTTGATATACTTATTTTTTGGAGCTCCCGATGTAAACCTTATTTTTAATTATGTTGATTTACTTATTCTTGAAATGTTATTACTTCTATAGTTACAATGGTTTTAAAGAAAAATTTTGGGTTAGCCACTCTGGTGGTTTCGTATGACATTCGAATCGAACGACCTTGTATCGTATCGGATTAGGGTGTTACAGTTTTGATTTTGGGATTGTCGAACTTCATAGTCTTGATGCTGCTGTTAATTTGGCCTTAGAAGAAGGGTGGCAAAATATCATTTTTTAGCTTAATTCGACAATGATGGTCAACAAATTCAATACTGAGGAGTTGGACGAGTCTACTATAAGGGTTCTCTTGCAACCAATACGTACTTAATGCAATCTTTTTCACAGTTGCTCAGTCGTTTATGTACGTAGAGAGGCCAATAAAGTGACTCATGTGCTAGTTAGACGAGCTCTTTCACATAATGTTTCGATTTTATTTGGTTTAGATTGTCCTGAATTCCTAATTGACGATGTAAAGAATGATACGTTACCACCTTGATTAATGGAATGGTGGACACTTTTTTCTTATAGGATCTCAACCTTGGTAGAAAACCCAAAATTTCATTTTTTTAAAAAAAATAATATATTCATTCTATCTTTGAACAATTCTAAAACCAATAATTTCGAAACACAAAATCTCTCCAACTGAAGCCAAGATCTGTGTGTATGAGAGGTCCCATGATTAGATATAAAGAATTTTTCCCTTTTTATCTTTTCAGAGTTTTCTGGGGGAAGATGTAAGCTTTTGTTTCAGGAAAAGTTGATGATGGTACTCTTGTTGTGTTGTACTTGAGAAAAAGCCTCTTTGTTAAAGACTAAAATTATTCCCTTTCATTTAGTTTGCAGGGGACAGGCGATCAACCGTACTAGTAGAATTAAATATAAGTTTGTCTGCAATAATGTGAGAAAAGGATATCATTTTTATTTAATTATGTTATGTATTGGCGGTACAAAACTTATTCGCTAATAAAATTGTGTGCTTGTTATATATCTTTTAATTATATTAAAAATAAAAAATAATAATTATAAAGCTTTATTTATAAAGTATTTTGTTATCATTAATCATTTATTTGTGTTAGGTTTATATACAAGGGTTTGAAGTCCACAATTAAATTCCAGGCAGGCCAGGCATATACTGACCAACGGTTTGTATTGTAACAGAACTATCGAAACCAACAATTGATTGGTCTGGTGTAACGAGAAACTAAATCCCTTAAATGAGGTTATAAGTTTGAATCTTGACAATTACGAAAAAAGTAAATTAGGTTGGAAATGTTATCCTCATGCTTATAGTATTCTATTCGAATTAATCGATTAATAGATTAAAAATCTGTAATATGAAAAAATAGAATGATTGAATTTTAGGCTGCGTCGGCCTAAAAAACCCGAATATAAGAAAGTTAAATCGTCTAGATAACGGAAGCTAGAGCTCATCACGGCCCAATTCAGGTTCACACTGGTCCAACAATGCCATCCCACTTGCCACATCCATAATTTCATGACTCGTGTACATTATTACATTTTTTCCGGTTTAAGTATATTACAAAGTTACATATTATAGTTGCAATTTTATTTTAATATTTTCATTTTTTAAAATTATAGTAATTTATTTATGTGAGTAATTCATTCGATGTATATATTTTTTAGATTAATTTAAATTTATTATAAGTGGTAGTATATGTTCTAAATAACCATTTGACAATGAACGTTCAAATAATTTAAAATATCTGGTGTTCGAACTTATAATCTCTAAGGATAACAATTATCCCTTCAACCACCAGATTCATTTGATTTGTGCTTATTCAATGTATATTTTAAAAGTGAGTTAAGAATGACAATGTTAATATTTTCCATCAGTACATGATACATGTATAACTGTGATTAGACAATTTTTAATTAAATAAAAATGAAACACTTAATAATATTTCTCATTATTTTAAAATTTTTAATAAAATTTTAAATATATATATATTTATATTTTATATTTTTATATTTTATATCATCTTTATTTTATTTGTCACGGTTAGAGGGTTGTTCATGGACGGTTAAGAGATTTTTCTAATCGTAACATAAGCATTAAAAAAATAATTAACCATTAATAGTTAATCATTAATAACGGTTCGGTTACAGGTTGACCTACGGTGAACGTATTACAATTATTTGTCAATTTTTTTAATTCATACTACACAAAAGTGTAGCACTTTACACATACTTATATCGATGTAAGTGAATAAAATAAAAACAATGTATCACTTAATACATACTTACACCGGTGTAAGTATATATATCTCTCAATATCTTAGTACCTAACAATTAACATATAATTATATTGGTTTATAAGTATGTTTTTATATTTTCAAAGAAATAAAAAATTAAAAATAATAAAAATATATATATTATGTTATTTACATATAAAATTTATTAAAAATAATAAAAATATTACGTTATTAATTTAAAAAATAATAAATTGGAAATATAATCATAAATTTAATTTATTAATAGTTAAACTTTGGTTAACTGTTTATCAAAATTCGTAACTATAATCTTAACCGTTAACTATTCCTTTTAACGGTTCGATTAATCAAAATTATTTAATATTACCAATTTGATTGATTAACCTTTTAAATATAACTATTATATCTTAACCAAAATTGTTTAATATTACCAATTTGATTAATTAACTTGTTAACACCTCTAACCACAGCTCCACTCTAACCTTGGTTTAAAAGTTTATTTATTTATTTGATGGAAATTAAGGTACAAAAAGACGGTCAAATAATCCCGTCAAGCCACCCATGCAAGGCTGTCAAATTGTCTCATGCTATGTATGACTCTTGGGACCCCTGCTCTCCTGTCTTGCATATATGAAAGAAAAGGCCAAGATTTAGGAAGTTGCAAACCCAGAATAATCTTGGCATTTAAGATTAGGGTTTTTTTTCCTTTTTAATTATAGTTAAACAAAAAATCCAATTGTTTGCCGACCACTCCATAGTAGTCTTTTCTCTTCACTTTCTCCTTGTCTCTTTCCTTAGCGCTTTTAAATCCCCCACAAGCTTACATATATATATAATCATGCAGTTATGCGTTGATATATAGAGGAGAATGGAGCTTAAATTTCTTCCAAACATGCCTCTGCAGTCTGCAACATGCTGTGTTGTCTGTTAGCCGATGATTGAACTGTAAGTCATCCCTTGTAGTACTGATTTTTCGTTTTGTACACAAAATGTCCCATTTCTCTTTGATCGTGCACTAATCATTTGATTAAAGAATTGTGATTTCCCATAAAATGAGAGAAGCATTTGGTTTCGACAGGAAAGAGAAGAAGGAATGAAGTAATGGTGACTCGATGTTAACAGCCGTTAGTAGACATTACGGAAATCACAACTGGACCGATGTATTCTGAGTTGAATCGTTGACCACCATAACTAGACCATTTTGACCGACTCTTCTTCTTCAATCTTCTTCCTCAACCTAACCAAATTTTTTCTTTTCCTCAACCTGAGCTTTAAGTTTTCTAACTTAACTTGGTATACTCTTCGGTCATCATGCCATATTTGTTTTTCGACAGATTGCAGGGAATTGTAGCTTCCATGTCCCGGATACAACATTCCGTCGTCGGTTTAGGAATTTGGTGAAGCTGTTGTACATAGAGGCTGTTCAGGCTGATGCTTCAGCCCATCATATTGGAGGAATCCTAAAATCTAGACATGGTGGCAGGAGATCCTTTGGAAAGGGCAATAAAAAAGATAGTTATGAAAACGATGATGCAGTAGTGAATAAAGCTACTTCAAATGAGGATCTAGTGTAAATCAACCTTTGCATAGTTTAAATTTATTGTAGAATATAGGTGAAAATGTTTAGACAAAAGGTGTTAGAATCAGTTCCTGGATCATCTACAGTTTCTGTAAATGTAGAAAAACACGACAATGAAGGTGTTTGTTGCAGTAAAACAAGAAAAACAGGCATATTTGCAGATTACAGACACCTCATTCCACTCTTTAACTGTTGCAGGTCATTGTAACATTGATTATGATGTTCATGTCAGCCAGAAAATTGTAACCTAGCCTGTCTGGCAGCTGTTATATCTCGGACGATCATTGATATTTTAAAAAAGGGCAACCTTAGAATATATATAGCAAATTGGTTTTGAGGAAATTCTCGTCGTCCCCTAGTTTCGGATACCATTTTTTGCTTACAACCTTTGGATGGAGATTTTCACTCCATGGAGGGACAAAGTTCCCTGTCTGTTCTTTCATTTTGTCTCTTCCCGAAGAAAATCAAAATTTCCGCTAAAAACAGACCGGCATGCTCACGGGTTTCTCTTCTACAATTTTGTTTTCGCTGAACTTGTTATGATCTTTCCGACACAAGCTAAGATGCCAGCTTTCTTTAATCCCATGAAACTTTCCGACACAAGGTAACGTTATTTTCTCCCCTATATATATATATATAATATAGGGTTATATATAGGTATATACAATCCTGGAAAAAGAATTTACGATGAGATGAGATCAGATGCAGTGGAACTGAATCATTAGAGGTTTTTGCATGAAGAAAACAATAAAATTTGCATTTACAAATGGCATTTCATTTCCCCTTGAGAGCTCAGTCAGTTGGAAGCTCGTCGTATTATGCAGAAAGAGTAACCGAAGAACCTCACCCGCAGACGAACAATAAAAACGCTCAGACCACCGTCACGTTGGTGTACCAAACGAATCTGGTCGGCTATTATCGTAACGTCAAGGTTTTGTGGTGCAAGAACGTTATGAACCATTCTCTCAGCATCATGGTGAATAGCACTCAAGGGAATTTCCAATACTCCTGCAAGATCGATCTTAAGCCTTGGCATTTCTGGAGCAAAAAAGGGTATAAGTCCTTTGAGGTTGAAGGGAGCCAAGTAGACGTTTACTGGGATCTTCGTTCCGCTAAATTCACCAGCAGCCCCGAACCGGTCTCGGATTACTACATCGTGCTAGTTGCTGACGAGGAGGTGGTTTTGCTCCTGGGGGATTACAAGAAAAAAGCGTACAAGAGAACGAAATCGAGACCGGCCTTGGTTGAAGCTCTCCTGATTTACAAGAAGGAAAATGTGTTCGCCAAGAAAAGCTTTGCGACACGAGCTAGATTCGATGAAAAAAACAGAGAACACGACATTGTTGTTGAGAGTTCAATAACCGGAATAAAGGACCCTGAAATGTGGATCAGCATGGATGGGGTAGTTTTGGTTCACGTCAAGAATTTGCAATGGAAATTCAGAGGGAACCAGACCGTTCTGGTCGGTAAGCAACCGGTTCAAGTCATGTGGGATGTCCATGACTGGTTGTTCAGCAGCCTTGGTACCGGCCACGGTGTGTTTATATTCAAGCCGGTGATGGCTGAAGCGGAGAGTGACAAAGAAGGAAGTGGCCATGGCAGAGGAGACAGCGACAGCGGAAGCAAGTATTATTCTACACTAGGTGTCGACGCCACATCGGAATTCAGCTTGTTCCTTTATGCCTGGAAGATTGAGTGAAGATATTGAAAGCCTTTTTTTCTTCTTTTAAATTGCAGTTCCCATTTTACAAAAAGAAATACATTTTACAGGTAATTTTCATGAAATATTGTAAATTATGTACTCTCTAAAAATGAAAGTTATTGAAGCAAAATGTTCATTTTAAAATATTATAACCCACATTCAAATATATATGTCTAACGCGGTTATATTAATAGTTAATAAATCAAGATTAGAATGATAATTATGATCCTAATTGACTCATTAGTCATTATAGAACAAAATGTGAGTGACATACAGGATCGAACCAAAACTATTTGAAAAATAGAGGCTGAAATTGAATTGAAGGAAACGTATCAGGGTAGAAAAAACAATTTCCTCTATTTATTTTATTATTCTCCAAGAAAACCCTCTTAAGTTAGGGAAGAACCATTGCCAATTCCCTTTTCTCCCCGTCAACGCCATCGAGCAATTTACTGTTTCCATGGATATAGGGGAAAATCTGGAATCACTCTCACCCGAAAACAGGGACGAAACCCAAAGTGGAAAGTTATGGAGATTAAAGGTAGCTTCGAATGTGTTCTTCGTTTACCACGACGAAGATGGGTTCGGAAATGCCATTGCCCGAGCTCTCAACCCTACTCCCCACCCTTATACCAAAGTGTAAGTTCCTTCTCTCTTTCTCAGTCTCTCTTTGGTTGATTTTTACTAAAAGCCCTGATTCAGAAAGTTACATTTTCAATGTTTATACGTTTTCAGCCCCGAGGTATTGGAATTGGAATTGGGGGATGTAAAATTGAATGGCTCTGTTACTCAATTGAGAGATAAAGACAATTTGAAGGTATTGTTTCCTTCCTTTAGCCATTAAGATCGAGACCCATTTATTGAATTACAGCTTTTGTTATTGATGAATGTAGTTTTGTGGATTAAGTGAGGAATCTGTAGAGCTACTTCATTTTCAGTGTGTTTGGTTCCTGGTGAAATAAGAGTAGAAGAGGACATGCTTGTTTTGATAGTGTTGTTTACTAATCTAAAAGGGTAAAAAAGCTCATTAGGAAGGGAGCCTGATGGAACCCTCTTTTCACTAGTGAACCCGCACCATCTACATATTCAAACATGAGATTTTCGATTTGTGAATCAAGTCTAGCCTTTAAATTTTCCCTTGTGGCTAATTTAGAAAAGGTTTTCCCACTGGATTGATGGTTTCTTAGTTGCTGGTCCATGTATATTCCTCAGTTATGATATTATCATATTATTTTTCATCAAGGAAATTGAATGAGATTTTCGAGCTTTTTTGGCCAAGGATGAAGAATGTGATTTTAGGAGTTGCAGAACTGGAGACATAATCTCAACTTAGGATAGAAATAGATTTATTCCTTCTTTGTGTTGGTGTTTTGTACTCGTCTTTGTGAAAGAATGACCTTGATTGAGGCCATTCATCTTCAAGTATGGGTGTATCATATCCACTGAATTATGACCCCCAAAATATATCACTTGATTGTTCTTGTTGCTGCATGAAGCCTCCGATAGGAGGGGGAAGTGTAAGGAATGGAAGGAAAAACTACTTCCTTTCCACCCTTTCTTTAGTTTAGGAGACAGGAGGTAAATGAAGGCATTTGTGTTTTGTACTATTCAACATAAATAAACAATTTTAATCGAAACTTTACCAAACCCATTGAAAGTTTCTTTCTTTACCTCCATTTCCCTTCCCTCTTACCAAACATAGTCAAAGTGCATATTTGTGGAACTTATATTTCCCTTTACTCAATTGCAGGCAACAATGGTAATGTTAGATCATTTGGAGCCGCCAGTACTGCCTCAAGCTATATATTCAGTGCTGACTAAAATTGCAGATGCTGAACACATGTCTTCTACTTTTCCCACTATCATAGCCCCTTTTCTTGTACCGGCATCAAAGCTTAAGTTGGAAGGTAGATTGTTGACAGCGAATAGTGGCAAAGTTCCTCTTTATGGTATCCAAGTAGGTCCCGAGTGTAACACCCCCCAACCCGTATCCGACCCTGATACGAGTCCGAAGTGTCACATTGACTTTTCAAACCTTGACTCTTAAGAAAAATCCCGGGAAATTTAAAACTTTATTTAAAACAAAATACAGACTTTATCAGAGTGCTCGTACTTAATGACTTATTACATGCCAACACTTTATACATAAACAAAAACATACTTTATCAAATATTTCTGATCTGATCTTTTGGTAAGGAAAACTGACCTGTCTTGCTCTGCATCACTCCTTACTCTTCTCGAAACCTACGTGTGAAACAATCACACGCTAAGTCGAAGACTTAGTGAGGCATAACCACTTATAATGCACTTTAAACATATATTGATACATGCATTTCTGTTCTATCATGTTATAGCAATTCCAGGCATTTTTCATATCGTATAGAATCATATCAGATTAATCGCAGTAATTCATACATACACATAATTCATCATTCACATGTTATCATATAATCACATACTTTTTCAATCAAACACTATACACAACATCATATAATTTTCTATAGCATTTATCATACCACTACTTATATTTGTTCATATCTCTGGATTAACCCATGTATATATGTGAGAACTATCGATATGTGAGTCTATAGAGGTTGTGCACTATGCTGTCACCACAGCTCGTATAAATGCACCGAAGTGCCCCGTAGAATTGCACCGAAGTGCCCGTAGAATTGCACGTAGTGCCCGTAGAATGTCCATAAGGACCACGTAGAATTCCTTAAGAATCATATACATATACTATGGATCAAGTATGTGTCTTTCAAGACTTCACACAGGTTCCAAAGGATATACATATGTCCTAAAGAACGAATAAACCCTCGACTCTTGGCATGCCAACTATACCCTAGCTCTCATGACACATAACATGGGCGTTATCATTTATTTCATTTCAAATATACACATAAACTTGTAATTCACTTTCACATATCACGTATCACATAGCTTCTTTCATATGGTCACATAGTCACGTAGTTCACTTAACGTAGATCATTTCCATATAATTCACATGTCACATATGTCATGTTTCATATAATTTCTATCATTTCTCACCCAATCACCTTTATTATATAAACATACTTATCATATCTTGTTCACATAAGATCTATACTTCATATAATATATCGAAACACCTAGAACCCTTTCCCGTAGCTATAGTCATAAGTTTGTCTCGTAACATATACTTGTTTCACATATATATTTCCTATCATTCTTATACCATCACATAATTCCTTTAAACATACATAAATATCAACATTATAATAGAAATACTTCTAAGTCATATCACTTAAAGCACATATATTTATAGTCACATTGCTTATATCTAATCGTAGCCTTCTCTTAACTATATATTCACATGTTCAGGTAATTCACCATTTCATCACATAATTGGGTATTCATATAACTCATTTCATTTCATTCATTTCATATCTATATATATATATATCCTCAAGATTATAATATAAATCATATAGCACTCTTATATTTCGTATCATCTAGGGCAGACTTATAACATATTTCACTTCATTATTTCTATATATAATCTAATCTGTTACTTAATTCAATTTCATATAGCTCTTATAATTTCCTATAACTTCACAAATTCCATCATTCAACCCATGTGTTATAGTTTATTTAAACCTATGAATCTTTCCCATCTAGCTTATCTTATACGTTCATCTTATCATTTATGTTCAAAATCCCTAGTTGGTGTACTATTTTCACTTCATCCTATAGATCATATTATCCAGTTTATTTCACTTATCATATAAAATATAATTATATTTTACTATGCTCCCATAGTTTATCTCATACTTTGCTTTCTCATGTTCACCTATATCATGTCATATGGCTCATATCTTTCTCATGCGTCACATAGTTCAGTTTCACATATGTATATATATAACCTTTATAGCACATACTTCTCATAACATTACATTCAAAAGCATGTCAACATATTCATGCCTACATACAATTCATGTCATTCATAAACGTATAATCATATATTCATGCATTCTAACATAGGAAATAGACTGTCGCAAGTCTTGTTTCCTTAGCACCATCAACTAACTAATATGCACTCACCTGGCCTCACTAGCCAATTCCAATCTCTTATATTTCCCCTTGATCGATCTTACTTGCCAAACGTTCCGGAATTTCTTTATGCGTAGAATCTACATAAATGTACATTTCGTGACAATCATTAGATACCTACACACCTAATTGGATACTAGCAACTAAACGAACTTATTAACCATAATCCCAATTTTCATTTAGGGGGAATCGGTTCCCCCCCATGGGGGTATCGTTCCCCTATGACATACTGGAAATTCTTGTTCGTTTGAAGGGGTATCGGTTCCCCTTGAATGGGTACCGATTCCCCTTGCCCAGAAAGATATTTTCAACCCGAAAATTACTTCATTTCCTCTCAAACACTTCATATATCATCCCCTTTCATCCTTAACTCTAGTACACATACTTAAACCATCATATTCATTTATTTCATCTTAAACCTCAAAATCCTATATCCATACGAGATTCAAAATCATACCAAATTTTCAATGTGTTCTAATTCAATTCTAACACCTATACTTCTTAATTAGATTGATGACAAGTCAAATTCATCCTTAGAATTTCAAAAACCTTTCTATATCAAAACTTCATTTCTACTCTCTTAATAGAAATCCCTTTCTAATTCTCCCTTCTTGATGTTTAAGTTATACAAGCTTTCCTTAAGCTTATATAACCCCCAAAGATTCAAACCAAACTTATAAATTCCAGAAATTAACAGTTAAAAATCAAACTTACCTTTAAGCTGGGCTACGAGAGAAGAAGAAAGAGCAAGAAAAGGCTTCCAGAACTCTCCCAAAACCCACTATATCACCTGTATTTAAAGGAAAACAAAATATCCTTTAATCTGAAAAGACTAAATTACCCCTTTAATTATCCATCTATGCTATTCATCCATCATCAAAATTCTTTACTTAAATCCCACACTTTTAACTTATTTCAAATTGAGCACTAATTTCCCAAATTTACATTTTAGTCACTGACCCGGCTTTCGATGTTACAAATCTCCCTCCTTATAGAAAATTCGCCCTCGAATTTCACTGAACATCTTAGTAGAACATATCTTCCAATGTTCTTATGTTGCTTCCCTGACTTATTCTTTCTCGTCATCATCGAAACTTACTTTTCAATCCTTAAGTTTTCAACTATCTTTTTCGTTTATACAATCATCTCTGTTGCTTATCATATAAACAATAACCAGTAATACCAATCCATTGTTGTCTTCTCTCATTCGACTATGCATTTTCCTTTGACCTTTCTAAAATTCCATATAATGTCACTCATCACATTGACAGTAACATCCATCTCTATCATAAATCCATCTATTTCTTCATAACTCTCTAATTACCTTATAACCATACCAAACTTGTATTTCGTCATCATTTGACCAAAACTCAACTTTAAACTTCTTCAATGTGATTAAACATATACTTTAAGGAGTCAAACAATATTTTCACATCACCTTGCACACTGGTCTTATTCCATATCAAAATTGTCCTCTGTACTTCCATATTTATCGATATGATCCTTTAAATCAATCCCTTTCATTTCTTATTCCTTATTCCTTATACATTAATCATATATTTCCTTTCATGTTCACATACTCTTGTCTTATTACTTATACTCATCTTTATGTACCAATCTTCATTGCATCCTCATTACTTTAATAACCTATTTCTTATACATAACTTCATTATTTATCATTTCTTATACTTGTATTTTCCTTCCTGAAGATTCCATGCAAATACTTATCTCAGTTTTTACATCATAGCTATCTGCTCAGAATATACAATCATATTCAAATTCACTCATAATCAATTAACTCCACTTTGTCTTTTCCTTCAGTCTTATAACTCTATCACCTTTACTCTGACAGCTAGTCAATAACATATGTTCAATCTAGGGTACAAAACCCTAATCAACTAAACACATACATCCTTTCAAATCGAAATTATCTTAAAAATTCGCTTACTCAACTTATCAATTTCACCCCTATTCTCATACATCCTGAAATTTCTTTTGCTCAACTCAACATTCTGACTTCCTGTGTCTTATAATCTGATCATCGATATACACATTCTCAACTCTTCTATCATCCTCAGCTTTATTTAAAGATACCAATTCTTACTTCCTTTTTCCTTTACTATACCACATTACTATGATCCAAATATGCAACTGTATCCAGATCCATTGCAGATCTGGTTATCATATCCTGACAATATTTTATATCTTATAATTCCAGTACATTTCCATCGCATATTTTTGTTAGCTAACGCTAACTTTTCCGTCTTAACTGCAAATCCTTATCATATAAACGCTCTGGCTTATACACAATGTTATTCCTTCATTTCGAACTCATAAGCTCTGACATATATATCTTATACGCTTGTCACTGATGCACTTATCCTTGAATTCTTCTATACGTAATCATCACGTCATTAGATCTTTTTAACATTCTTATGGTGACACCCGTTCACCATCTTCTATCTTATTCACATAATAGCAAAACTACTCTACATCGTTTTTCCAATTCCAACACTGAAAATTTTCTATCATTATTCAATATGATTTCAGCTTTCTGAAATCAACTTTTGATCTTACTAGGCATTTCCTGAGGTGTCCGCTCTTCATCCTGCCTGGCCAGGGCAAGTGAATAGCTATCACAATCAGAATATCACCTTTCACTTACTTCGAAATTATCACGATCGGATTCTACTGTGTTTAAACTATTCTTATTTTATTAGCAAGACAACGTATTCCTTACACTATCAGATCAGAAATTTTTTTTTCAAGCTATGTTGCATGTACACCTTTTGACCTTTTGGACTTCGTTTATGCCAAGAATCGCTAAACCATAGCTCTACCATTAAATGTAACACCCCCCAACCCGTATCCGACCCTGATACGAGTCCGAAGTGTCACTTGACTTTTCAAACCTTGACTCTTAAGAAAATCCCGAGAAATTTAAAACTTTATTTAAAACAAAAGACTTTATCAGAGTGCTCGTACTTAATGACTTATTACATGCCAACACTTTATACATAAAAAAACTACTTATCAAATATTTCTGATCTGATCTTTTGTAAGGAAACTGACCTGTCTTGCTCTGCATCACTCCTTACTCTTCTCGAAACCTCGTGTGAAACAATCACACGCTAAAGTCGAAGACTTAGTGAGGCATAACCACTTATAATGCACTTTAAACATATATTGATACATGCATGTTCTTTCTATCATGTTATAAGCAATTCCAGGCATTTTTCATATCGTATAGAATCATATCAGATTAATCGCAGTAATTCATACATACACATAATTCATCATTCACATGTTATCATATAATCACATACTTTTTCAATCAAACACTATACACACAACATCATATAATTTCTATAGCATTTATCATACCACTAACTTATATTTGTTCATATCTCTGGATTAACCCATGTATATATGTGAGAACTATCGATATGTGAGTCTATAGAGGTTGTGCACTATGCTGTCACCACAGCTCGTATAAATGCACCGAAGTGCCCCGTAGAATTGCACCGAAGTGCCCGTAGAATTGCACCCGTAGTGCCCGTAAATGATGTCCATAAGGACCCGTAGATTCCTTAAGAATCATATACATATACTATGATCAGTATGTGTCTTTCAAGACTTCACACAGGTTCCAAAGATATCATATGTCCTAAAGAACCGAATAAACCCTCGCTCTTGGCATGCCACTACCCCTACTCTCATGACACATAACATGGGCGTTATCATTTATTTCATTTCAATATACACATAAACTTGTAATTCACTTTCACATATCACGTATCACATAGCTTCTTTTCATATGGTCACATAGTCACGTAGTTCACTTAACCGTAGATCATTTCCATATAATTCACATGTCACATATGTCATGTTTTCATATAATTTCTATCATTTCTCACCCATCACCTTTATTCATATAAACATACTTATCATATCTTGTTCACATAAGATCATATACTTCATATAATATATCGAAACACCTAGAACCCTTTCCCGTAGCTTATAGTCATAAGTTTTGTCTCGTAACATATACTTGTTTTCACATATATATATTCCTATCAATTCTTATACCATCACATAATTCCTTTAACATACATAATATCATGTAACATTATATAGAAATACTTATAGTCATATCACTTAAAGCACATATATTTATAGTCACATTGCTTATATCTTAATCGTATGCCTTCTCTTAAACATATATTTCACATGTTCAGGTAATTCACCATTTCATCACATAATTGGGTATTCATATAACTCATTTCATTTCATTTCATTCATATCTATCTATATATATATATCCTCAAGATTATCCTAATATAACTTCACAAATTTCCATCATTCACCCATTGTTATATTTTATTTAAACCTATGAATCTTTCCCATCTACTTATCTTAACGTTCATCTTATCATTTATGTTCAAATCCCCTAGTTGGTGTACTATTTCACTTCATCCTATAGATCAATATTATCCAGTTTATTTCACTTATCATAAAAATATAATTATATTTTACTATGCTCACATAGTTTATATCTCATACTTTGCTCATGTTCACCTATATCATGTCATATGGCTCATATCTTTCTCATGCAGTCACATAGTTCAGTTTCACATATGTATATATATACCTTATATAGCACATACTTCATAACATTACATTCAAAAGCATGTCAACACATATATTCATGCCTACATACAATTCATGTCATTCATAAACGTATATCATATTCATGCATTCTAACATAGGAAATACTTGTCGCAAGTCTTGTTTCCATTTAGCACCATCAACTAACTAATATGCACTCACCTGGCCTCACTAGCCAATTCCATCTCTTATTTTCCCCTTGATCGATCTTACTTGCCAAACGTTCCGGAATTTCTTTATGCGTAGAATCTCATAAATGTACATTTCGTGACAATCATTAGATACCTACACCTCTAATTGGATACTAGCAACTAAACGAACTTATTAAACCCATAATCCCAATTTTCATTTAGGGGAATCGGTTCCCCCCCCATGGGGTATCGGTTCCCCTATGACATACTGGAAATTCTTGTTCGTTGAAGGGTATCGGTTCCCCTTGAATGGGTACCGATTCCCCTTGCCCAGAAATCATATTTTCAACCCGAAAATTACTTCATTTCCTCTCAAACACTTCATATATATCCCCTTTTCATCCTTAACTCTAGTACACATACTAAACCAATCTATATTCATTTATTTCATCTAAACCTCAAATCCTATATTCCATACGAGATTCAAAATCATACCAAATTTTCAATGTGTTCTAATTCCAATTCTAACACCTTATACTTCTTATTAGATTGATGACAAGTCAAATTCATCCTTAGAATTTCAAAAACCTTTCTATATCAAAACTTCATTTCTACTCTCTTAATAGAAATCCCTTCTAATTCTCCCTTCTTGATGTTTAAGTTTATACAAGCTTTCCTTAAGCTTATAACCCCCAAAGATTCAAACCAACTTATAATTCCAGAAATTAACAGTTAAAAATCAAACTTACCTTAAGCTGGGCTACGAAGAAGAAGAAAAGAGCAAGAAGAAGGCTTCCAGAACTCTCCCAAAACCCACGTATATCACCTGTATTTAAAGGAAAAATACAAATATCCTTTAATCTGAAAAGACTAAATTACCCCTTTAATTATCCATCTATGCTATTCAATCCATCATCAAAATTCTTTGCTTAAATCCCAACACTTTTAACTTATTTCAAAATTGAGCACTAAATTTCCCAAAATTTACATTTTAGTCACTGACCCGGCTTTCGGGATGTTACAGAGACTAATGTAAGTCGAGTCATTGCTTCCAAAACTCAGAAGCCATCTCCATCTTTGCAAATTCATTACGAGCCTCTAGCCTGCTTTCTTCACCTGGTCCGTGCTGCAAACTTGCCAACTTCTATTATCATAGGCCAAAGAAGCCAAAGCCCATTTAATCAAGCTTTAACTGAGGACATACAGGTTTTCATTCTTTTTTCCAATTTCAAGCAAATGTGGTTTTTAAAGTGTGGCTTGCTTGAATAGAATAAGCTAGAAATGATGTTAAAAAGCAGATTCCTATTCATTCATACCATGCTCTGCTTGTTAATTGGTTTCATTTTTTTTCTTTTCGCATACTAAGGGGGTTTTTAGATTAATATGGATCTATACGTAATCTAGCTCTGGGAAATTATTTTTCAGACTCTCTGTGAGATTGGCGAGCTTGTGGCAAGTGCCACCGGGACATACTTCCAGGGAGAAGAAACCAAAACTAATTGGATTCCAACAGCAAAGGCAGCAAGTGGTGGTGGTGGAGAGCCATGGCGCGCATTCTATGGTTAAATGTTTTAGGTTCTTGCAGGAAGCATAAACTGAGATTGAACATGTGAGTGGGTGCATATTGTAGTAAAAACTAGGGCCCCTGTTTATCAGATATAATACAAGTTGCAGTCAGCAGTGGCTTAAAATAGTTGAAAACTGATCTTATATGTTTCATATTTGTGTGATGAACCAAACAAGCAGGAAGTTCAGTTCCTGAAAGGTGTTCAACATGTTGATATGTGATCTAACATGTGTCTTGAACGATTGTCTGAGTCTGACTGACCCCATCCATTATTTCTTTCAGGATGGGATACCTTTGTACCTTTCTTCAAATCTTAATTTTAAAATGTTTGAATTGACAAAAAGTAAACTTGATTTTCCAAATGGATGTTAGTATATAATACAAAGATTTATATTTAAAATGCGTATACACTGAATTAGGAGTGATGCTATATTTCCTTTGAAAATGGAACAGGGTCAGAAATTTAATTTAGTAGTTAAGGTGTTTGCATCGTTGTTTGTTAATTAGAAGTGGCAGGAACACATGGTGTGGACCATTTAAGCCATTGTTGGTTTTTCAAGACCTGCAATGAATTTATATTTGGGTGGTCGTACATTGCCAAATCTTGTTCTTCTGTCATGGTACGAAGCTATCAGAATATGTCAATATCAAGATAAGATTTAAACCGCATTAACAATGTGTTGCTTCGGCTTTGCCTTTGCCTTTGGTATCAGTCCGTGTTGATTATATAAAATGTACCTATTTGTCTCCATCTATATTTATATATTAATTTGTGTTTGGTGCTTTGCACGTTAAAAATAATTAAATTTTAACGTTAAAAAACTATTAGTAGAAGAAATAATTATTGATTTTTCTATACTTTTCATCACTAATCTTTGATTGTATTTCTGTTCCTTAATTTTAAAAAATTTAATTTGATTTCCTAAGTTTTAAATTGCTTCGTTTTTTGTTCCTATGTTTCTTTTTCTTTTTTGAATTTTTGAAAATGCTAAAAAACCCTTTATATTTGTGAATTGTCCCTAATTTTTATCTCTTCAAATTTTAACAAAGTTTTAGGGTCTTTTTAATTTCCTTTCTGATTCAAATCCCAACAATAGAGAAGTGAAGAAAGATGACGGACATGTATTCTGATTTCACACTAATCAGATGATAAAGATTATAGATTAAAGTCTTTTTTATCTAATTTTTAGATTAAAGTTTCTAAATTTTTTTAAGAATTTGAGAAATCTAAATTGATATAGTAGTAGATAACGATAAGATGAGTTTATCGATATCTAGAATTATAAAAAAAATTAGAGGATATGATAATTTTAACGATAACATAATATAAATCATTTTAGAAGATATTTCGTTAGAAGAGTGATGAAATTAAAAAAAAAGGTAAATAACATACTATTTTGAATTAGAAAAAAGCTCATATTAATAAAAGAACAAGTCATATCACATAAACTTTTTGATGTAACACCCGAGTGATAAAGTGGAACAACTCAAAAATTGAATAATTAATTTTTTTTTTAAAGTTAATGGTTAAAACAAAACACAGTCATGATGAAAAGTGTAGTTGATCCCATAAATATATCTCGTGGAACACTTTGTCATTAGTAAAGTTTTTTTTTTGTCATGTGATGCATATCTCATACTCACATGTGGCTTTTTATGGATTACATAATAGGAGTGTATAAACTCAGATATCCGATTTAGTTTAATTCGAAAATTCGAATATCTAAAAATTTTTAGATACTTAAAATAATAATCTGTATTTGATCTAAAAAAATTGGATATTCAAATTCTCGGATTAGATATCCGGATCCAAATATAAAATTTAATTTTGAAAAAAATTAACTTTAAATTTTACATTTTGTGATTTAATCCAACTTATTTATACCTCTATCATATATATATATATATTATTAAATATCTTAATTTTATTGGGTTAGAGTTCTAATGAGTTACACCTGTATTGGGCAAAAAAAGTACACAAAATCTAAAAATTTAATTTTTTTTAAATTTTTAGATAATTCAAAATTAAAATTTATCCGATGCGATTATCCAAAAAAAAAATGGATATCCGATCTTTAAGCATTTTTTTTTAAAAATTTAAGATTCATATTTTATTTTATTAGTGAAATTATTTTAAAATTTTTAACTATAATAAATTCACGAAGTGACTCTAAATAATATTTTTTAAATTAAAGTCGGCATTAGTTTTTCTTACTTTAACCAAACATAATTTGTAAACTTTATTACTATAACAAGAATAATATTTGGAAGACTGAGGGCTAACTCTTTCTTTCTTAAATTGTTTTTTAGAAGAGTGTATTTTCTTATTATACAATTTAAATATATTTTTATATTTGAATTTAACATCTTATTTTTAATGAGTCTTTTAAAAAAATTAGTTAATTTTAGACTTTTATTTATTATATTATTTTTTTATTAAGCTAAAGTGATTATAAAGTAATATATGTTCTAAATACTTTCAATCATTTGACAATGAATGTTCAATCACTCTGATGCAGTTGTTAGAGTTAGAACCCATTACTTATTAGAACAACAACGAGTCTTTAACTACTAAAGTAAATTAATTCGTGTTATTTCTTATATTATTCTAATACCTTTTTATAGCGGTGTTATGCATGCAACACATGATAATCTATGATTTTGTTACAACGTTAATATTGTAAATTTATAATTTTTTATATAAAAGCATTAAAAATAAAAGTAATAAGTCTAATAATATTTAAATTCAAAAAATGTGTTATTTTTTTTACAAAATTTAAAAATATATAGTTGATCCGACGAAACCCGATATCAATGAGCTTTAACCATTTATGTTTATTGATATTCATGGAACCGATTCAAATGATTAAAATAAAGGTAAAATTGGTAAAGAAAATAATTTTATTAAATAATCAAATTTAAAATTTTAGATTAAAAATCAAGTCATTTTTATTAGGTGAGAATCATTTTTATTAATTAATTAATTATTAACATTAAAAGTATTTTTTAGATATTATCGCTTTATATTAAAAAATGTTAAATTGATTCTAAAAATTTGTACAAGTGTTTTAATTAAACAGTCGGTTATAACTAACAGCTATTGCAATCGCCGCTTGATATTAAAAGTAGTAAAGTGGTCCTAAAAATCTGTGTAACCGTTTTTTATTAAACGGTCGGTGACCAAATAAAAATATCGATATTATCGTTTAATATTAAAAGTATTAAAAAAATTAGTTGATCCTATTATTATATGTAATAGAGTAAGGGAAGGTAGAATAGAAGGTTGACCCAACGTCAGGTTAAGAACAGTTTTCGTGGGAGACTTCCGACAGTTCGAATTATGAATTTTCCATAATAAGACTCGATCCCACAACCACTAGGTTAAAAGTATTAAACTAACCTAAAATTATCTGTGGCCGTTTTAATTAAACGATCAAAGATTAACTAAAAGCTATCACGGTCGCCGCTTGATATTAAAGGTATTAAAGTGATCCTAGAAATATATATAACGTTTTCATAAAACGGTCGATGATCAACTAAAAGACATCGATATTATCGCTTAATATTAAACGAATAATTTGATTATGAAAATCTGTATAATCACTTTTATTAAATTCGTTCCAAAAAATTATATAACCATCTTTATTATATAATATAATTATCAGATAATGTAGCTGTAACATAAAAAATATAAATGAATTATTGATTAAATAAATTATTGTTGTTTCTAAAGGTTATGAGTTCGAACATCATATACAAGAGTGATTGAGAGTACTTAAAAAATATAATATTTTATAATTATCTTAACTTAATAAAAAAAAGAATGAAATAATAAAGATCATAAATACTGACAATTACCAACAATCAGTTGTTCTAGTGGGAGGGTTCGAATCTTGACGTTTGCAAATAAAGTAAATTGGGTTGGGAGGGTTGCCCTCGCTTTTGCAGTACCCGATCTAAATTAATCGATCGTTAATCAAAAGATACTGGTGTTACTATTTAATATTAAAGAAATGAAACGGTCGGTGATCGAGTAAAAAGTATCATTGTCACTGCTGTCATCACTTAACATTAAAATTTTATTATTTTTTATAAAGTTTAAAATATTTTTGAGATCAAATAGTAATTCTTTATTTTTTCCTTTAATTTATTTCTTCATTAAAAAAATTACACTACAAATATTTTAAAAGAGATCAAATAATATTCCTCTCACATACTATAACAATAATTATAGTAAAATATTTTATGCAAATGATAAACTCGTGACTTAAATAGTTGGATTCTTAAAATATTTGACTTAAATTGTAAATTGGAAACTGTAGCAGAAAACAGATATAAGTGGGAATTTTAGCTCGAGATGAGAAAGACGCATCCTTTAAAAACTGCTAAAAAGAGTCATGGCTGGGGATGCTGATGATATAAAGTAACCATAGTTAAGGATCAACCACAGTTTGGTTTTAGAGTTGGGGGGTTGCTCTATATAAGTAGAGAAGGATTGATTCAATTCAATGGCAAAGCCTGCCAGCAGCAGCAGCCATTACAAGGCTTCATTTCTGGTAAAACCCAAATCTTCTCTTCCCACCTTTCATCGATCCCATGAAAAGGAATCCTGTTTAGTTCTTGTTTTGGGTAATTTTTTTCTTCTTTCGGCTATGCATGAAATGCTAGATCTCATATTACCTTGATGTGTATTTAATGGTTTCCAAATTGGAAATTTGATATCTTTTTCCCTTACCCTTTTCGTGTTATAGCTTTGATTTTCTGTTTTGAACATATCTATTACCATCAAGGTTTGAGCATGGCTGGATATCTATGATGGAAAAGCAAAGAAAAGGAATTTTATTTTAGCATTGATCATAGCTGAGATGCTAGCTCTAGCCAATTTGAATGCTAAATAAATTATTCTGTCGGGTTCTTTCCTTTCCCCTTGAATGCCGGTTTTCTTGCAGTTTACCAGAGTGATTTCCGACGTCAATTAGTTTAATATTGAATTTCTCTAATTGCAGATCTCTTTTGTCCATTCTGGAATCCTATACAACAAATGGGCCTCTCAAGTCTACCAACTCCATCACAAGGAATGCTATATGTTCTCTCGGTAAACGCAGCTATGTCGTTATCTGCAGTTAAAGGCATACTTCGTTCCATCCTTCAAATCGTCGGTATCCGTATATCGGCGCCATCGACATCGTCCCCGGATTTGATGCCAACTTCCCCGGACTCGACGGATGACTCCCCAGATTCGATGCCATCATCCCCGCATTCTGTTTTCCGCAATGAATTAGCTGCGTATCACTCTGCAGCTGAAGTTTACCTCAAGGATTACCGGAGTAGGATCCCGACAACTCGGTTGGACACTTTAAGCAGCAGCCAGCAACCCGAGCATGACTGCCCGGTCTGCCGGTGTGAGTTCGAGCCTGACGCCGAGGTCGACCTCTTGCCCTGCAGCCATCTGTTCCACAAGGAATGTTTGGAGACGTGGCTGAGGTATTTGAGAGGTACTTGCCCCGTTTGCAGGTATCCTCTGCTATTCGATGAAGTGAATGCATGCTACTGATGAGAAGATCACAAGAGTGATGAGTATGAGAAAAATCTCCATAGTGCAGCCTGTTCAATACAAGGATATATATATATATATATATTTGTTATCTTGAGGCTTAGTGTTAGGCTACCCGCAAGTTTACCTTGATGTGGTGATGTGTTACTTAATGTGCATATTGTCAAGGTTTCTTATGTTGTATGCGAATCTCAACCTGTCTAAATCTTCTTTGACTCATGGAGTTCTTTCTTTAAATTTGTTTTTCTTGCTTCACTCTTTTGTGCAATGGGATGGATTGGAGCGACTGAGGTCAATTATAAAAAAGGAAAATGATAACAGATGCAACGCTATTAATTAAAAATCATAATCGTTATCTCTATATTAAAAAATACACGAAAATCATCGCTATTACCCTTAAACATTAAAAAATATCGTTGTTACCTTTAAATATACAACAATGCTGATTCAAAAATAATTTTATTATTATAAAGACAAGTAGAAAGTCATCATCGTTATCTTTAAAAATTAAGACACGTTGAAGATCATCATCGTTATCTTTAAAAATTAGAAAAACACATACAATTATTACTGTTGTTAAAAATTATCGTTGCTTCCCTTTAATATTAAAACCCACGTAGAAAGTCATCACTGTTATATTTAGGGATGACAAACCGGTACAGTTTCGTGGATTCCGCACCGCATCCGCTCCAATTGAAGCGGGGATGGGCATAATTTTAGCGGGTAGTGGGCGGGTGTGGATTTATAAAGTGGTATCCGTCGTGAGTCGTGGGCGGGTAATGGGTTTGAGACATTACCCACCCCGCATCCGCCCTGCATCCGCCCGCCCCACATCCGCCCACCCAGCTAAATATCTATTAAATTTTGGACCATTATGAATTTAGGTGTAATTTTAGAGACTAATTTATAAATTTTAATATTATATAATTTATAACATATAATTTATCCAAATATTAAGGATATTTAGTCTTTAATTAGGGAAATATTCGGCTCTTTGATTAAACCCATAATCCCACTAACCACATCACTTTCTATGTTCTTTAGCTCATGCTGCCCATCCAAACACAAATTAGCCGTACTATAAGCATTAACATCAAAAGCAGCAGTTTCCATGTTTTTTAGCCCCTCAAAACCCATATTAGGTGCACTATGAGCATTAACATCGAAAGCAACACAATAATCCAGCTCTACGATTACATGCTCCCTACAATCTCTCTCCATAACATTCGTAGAGCTACTCCTCTGACAAATTGAAGCATGCGCTGCTACCCCATCACGAACTGTCTGAGAACCAACTCTAACATCCAATTAGTTTGCTGTCAGGCGGGTCTAGATGGGTATGTCGCTAGTGGGTAGTGGGTATGGGGATGAATTTGAAAATGTACCCGCGTGGGCGGTGTGGATTTGAAAATTTGTACCCATCATGGGTGGTGGGCGGGTGATGGATTGAAAAATATTAGGTGGGTATGTGGATGGAGGATGGGATATCCGCACCCGACCCGCCCGTTTGCCATCCCTAGTTATATTTTAACATTAAAAATGCGTAGAATGTTATCACAATTGTCATTTGACATCAAAAAAACACTCATAAAATCATCACTGTTATCTTTAACATTGAAAAATACGTTAAAAAAAGATATTACAAGTGTCATTTAATATTAAAAAACACGTAGAAAGACATCATCATTATCTTTAAACATTAAAAAACACGTGGAAAATCATCAACCATCACCTTGTTTTCCCTTAACGTTAAAAAAAACACGTGAAAAATCGTCACTATAATCCTTAAACATTAAAGAATACATAGGAAATTATCACCAAAAATTATCACAATTGTCTTTAACATTAAAAAAATACGAGAAAATTGTCATCGCTATTAAAAATGTCAATTTTATCTTTTAAACATTAAAAAACGTATGGAATCACTTTGATTTATAACATAACTGTCGAGTAATGTAACTGTTGAATGATGTAATCATAATATTTAAAAAATTAAAAATTATTAATATGATTATTGATGAGTGTTCAGAATCGTTAATAATTACTCGTTATTTCTTCGGTTTTGAGGAATTATTACTGTTAAATTGGTCATGTTATGTTTGTTTTCGTACATATCCTTACTTTCCAGAATTAGTGACAAAACGGGTGCATTATGTATTTTTTTATTATTTGGTCACGGCTGGAGACATGGGCACGACTCTGGGCATTACGTGGTCTGATGTGGCAGTTTCTAAAAGACCTAGTCAACGATGGTTTCTAGAAGACTTCCTCTGCAAGCGTTTTGGAAGATTGACGAGCAAAGTTGTATTATGAGACTAGTTTAAGTTTGAATTTAAATTAAAAAATAATTATTTTTAGGATTATTTTATTTGTTTTCTTTGTTTATCCTTTAGGCTTTAAGAGGCTATAAATACCCACTTGAGGTAAGCTCAAACTCATCACTCAGATTACATTCTTCCTTTCTCTTTAGTTTTTATAAAAAAAATTACTTTTCAAGTTCTTTTCATTTTTCTTTTATTTTTCAAGCTTTGTTTTCAAAATGCTAAGTATGACTTTTGTCATGCTTAGCTAAACTTTTCATAAGCCGACAGCTGTCGCGATGACTCAATTCCATCGGGAGAATCGAAACAGACCCTTAGGTGGCGTTTGGTCCGCTAGAATGTTTATGAGGGAATTAGAATCTGTGAAGGAATTGAAATCTGTCAGGAATTGGAATCCAATTCCATATTCTGTTTGGTTCGCAGACATGTTAGATGAATTTGATTTCAGTAATATAAAATAACATAATTGCCCTTCTTGTTTTATTGCTTTATTTTTTTACAACTTACATGTAGTAATATATTATAAAAAATTAAAAAATATTAAATTTTCATTTTATTGATTGATTATACATTTCAATAAATTATAAAAATCATGCTAATAAACATCATAAGTTAAAATCATCGCAATCAAAATATGTTAATAAGTTACCAAAAGATAGAGCAATATTTCGATACATTCTAATCTGAGTATGTTAATTAGTTACCAAAAAATATACCAAAAACTATTTTTATTCAATATATGAATTAGAAACCCGACACGACACAAAATAATAAAAAAAAATTATTCAATAAAAATATTGACTTAATTGAAAAAATATATATAGGGGTATTATTGTAATTATTCTTAAATATTTAAGGTAAAATTATATATTTTCTCCAGGTCGGTCCGATTTTTTTCACCCTAAACCCGAACCGACCTGAATATCACACTTAAAAAAACCCGACCTGACTCGACCCGAATATCACACTTAAAAAACCCGACCCGAACAAAATAAAGTTTCACCCGACCAGAATATATGAATTAGAAATCTGACCCGACCCGAAATAATAAAAAAATATTTTTATTCAATAAAAACAGTGACTTAATTGAAAAAATATATAGAGGGGTATTATTGTAATTATTCCTAAATATATAAGGTAAAATTATATATATTTTCGGGTCGGGTATTTTTCACCCTAAACCCGAACTCGACCCGACCCGAAAATCACACTTAAAAAAACTGACCCGACCCGACCAAAATAAAGTTTCACCCCGACCCGACCCGAAATAATAAAAAAATATTTTTATTCAATATATGAATAAGTTACCAAAAGATTGATGAGGGTAGTATGGTCAAATTTCAATTCCCTCCAACAAGGGAATTGAATTCCATCCATTCTTGGATGTAATTCACTTTCCCTAATTTGATGGAAAGTTGAAACCATGAGAGATTCCAATTCCCTTGGAAAACTTGAACCAAACATGGGAAAGTGGTGGAATTGAATTCCAATTCCCCCCCAATTCCAAGGGATTACATCCAACCAAAGGCCACCTTAATATCTTTGGAATATCTCTCTCAATCTCTGCGTTTATTTTTCAAAATCAAAACAATTTTCAAAATCAAAGATTGACTTTGGTCAAGAGGTTGTTGCGATTAAATGTGTGGGAGGAAGATTCGGCTTATAGAAAGCAATTCGACTTCCTGGGAACACATTTGGCGAGATAGCTTCGGCAATAGGGAATTGAGATCGGAATTGACGGTTATCGAAGCAACAATCCAAGTCGGACGCCACGAACTTAAACGGTAATTGATCTACGACAATTGATGTTGTTAGAATCAATTACCGAAGCCAGAATCAAAGATTGCCTTGGGTATTCGGTATACAAGATAGAGTCACAGAGATAGCCCTTGTAGACAAAGTAACCGACATGAATCCCGAAGAGAAAACCTTACTCGATGATCATAAGGAAATTGATCCCGAAGAGGGCTACTTTTACCGTATTTATTCACAATCTTCATCTTCTTATTTTTACTTTAATTTCTTTTACTTATTTAATCGTTTTTTATTTTAATATTTTCTTACCAAAATTCCCCCCATTTTTACTGTTTCACGCTTGACATAAATAAATCAGATATAAATTTATAATTTTCTAAGTCCCTGTGGAATCGACCCTTACTTCTCTTTACTACGTATTTCCTTAATTTATTGATTGAGAATAAGGAATTTTATTTGACATCGAAAACGATAGTTGTCAAATTGGCGTCGTTGCCGGGGACTTCGCCAAAGTTACTAATTTTTGTTTGCTTTTGATTTATGATCAGTTCTAATCTGAGAGCATTAGTAGAGTACGACCTTGAGATTGAAGCCAAGGCTAGGAGACTCCACGCACAAACACTTCGGGAAAGAATGAGACAACAAACAAATCCAGAAGAAGATTCGAATTCAGGTAATATAAATCCAATGACCGATCTTACTATCTGGGAGTTAGCCGCGACTCCTACTAAGCAAGGGCCTATGTGCATTGATTTTTCCCAAGGCGAAACTCCGTACCAGTTGAAAACCGGCCTTATTCATCTCCTCCCTACATTCTGCGGATTGCCAAACGAGGATCCACACAAACATCTCAAGGAATTTCATATGGTCTGCTCCAGCATGAGACCACAGGGAGTAACTGAGGACCAAATAAAACTTAGAGCTTTTCCTTTTTCCTTAGCCGAATCGGCTAAGGAGTGGTTATTTTATCTTCCTCCTAATTCTGTTACTACATGGGCTCAAATGACTCGTCTTTTTCTTGACAGGTTTTTTTTCCTGCGGCAAAAGTAAGTGAATTACGAATGAGAATACTTGGAATCAAGCAGCTTGATGGAGAGT